CAGGAATGAGTAACAAATAGCTGTATGAGGGAGATGCTGCATCTCTCTTCACAGATCCAAGCACTACTGCTCAGAAGATGGCAACAATAGTTCCTAACCTCCCTGCAGCAGTGACCTTCTCTGGCTTCAGGGTAGTGGACGCTCATCCTTTCCACATGTGGAATTTAGGTGACCTGTGCTAGACTCCTGGCATTCTTCTGGCAGGAAACTTATCCTTATAGCATGGATAGTGATAATCAACAATCTTGGAACTTGAGTTGAACCCTAGTATTAGAACTGAATTTGGTACTAACAAAGCACCAGGCCAAGGACTAAACTATGGGCTTTATTTTTCCATAGGAGATTATGTAAAATCTGCAGTTGTTCCACAGTGCCTTGTTATAGCTGGTACTTCCCCTTCAGTTTTGAGGGCTTTATATATTCATTAATTGCAAAAAGCCTTTTCCTTTAATTCTGGAGGGGTGATGACACCAACTTCAACCTCTCTTTGCTCCTCAGCTAGACAAGCTTGGTAAGTGTTGTTGCATAAACAATAGCCAGGAACTCAGTTAATCAAATCAAACTTTATTCCTGTGACTTTCTGTACCAACATAAAAAATTCTGAGCTGAACAACTGACATATTTGTACAGCTTAAGCAGCTGTGAATGGAAAAATTACTGCTTACATAAACTTCAAAAGGTAAACTCCCAAAATGCATGTCTATTTCAGCCACCAGCTTCTTGCTGTAGGTTCAGTTCTAAATATCCTGCTTCTCTTGAAGCTTCAACTTTTGTATTAAAAACTGTAACCATCAGCTTTAAAAAATGAAAGCAAAGACAAATCTAAGAAATAGATTAAAGTATTCCACTGATGTGGAGTCAGTCCTCACCCTTTCATAACTATTAGAAACACATACAAATATACTATTTCTCTTGGGTAGACAACTTTGAAAAGAAGGGGAAGTCTGACAACTCCTAAAGCCTCACCCTTGTACCTGAATTATTTAAACATTTGGCATAAATTCTTTTTAAAGTACTGATGATGCACAGTATTACTGCCCCTAGTGTACTGGTCAACCAAGGCAAATTGGTGCCACAGGCACTAAAGATTCTTCAGCCATGCCCTGCTTGTAACTGCTTTTTCTCATCGGTGTATGAAAG